TTCCTTTTCCCCTCTTCCTTTTCCCCTTCTTCCTCTAATATTTCCCTTTCCCCTTGGCCCTTGCCCCAGGGTTGTGTGGAGGAGCTCAGTGTGGGCAGACCCAGCACTGTCCCCTCCAGAGCAGAGCAGGACACTGAATGTGTCACCTCAGTGAGCACTGCTGGAGCTGCTGCTGAGGATGAGTGTGGTGTCAAATCCCAATTTGTGTTTAATTTGTAGCTTTATATTTTCCTTGTAGCTTTATCTCACTGACTCTTTTCTCTCCTTTTGAAGTCAATGTTGGGGAGGACTGCCCTGTGTTCGATGGGCTCTTTGAGTTCTGTCAGCTCTCTGCTGGAGGCTCTGTTGGTAAGCTCACAAATCATGTTCTTTTCCTTCCCTCCTAAGAAAATATATGTCATGTACTTCTGTCCAGGAGCTAAACTGTTGTTTGGGGGATAGTGGGGAAGGTCTGTGAGCCTATTCCGGGTTCCCTTCATGATTAGATCCAAATTTCTCCTTGTGTGGGTCAAACTTGCCATATCAGTGGGTAATTTGTTAAGCACTAGCCTGGGTTACCTCAGTGAGTGTGTGAAAGGCTCTGCATCACCAGTGAGAGAGTCAAACCAAAACCACAGCAAGGTTTAATCAAAAAAATCAACGTGAGCTTTGCATAACAAACCTGTGAAAACCTTACTCTGACATAACCTGGGAAGGAAAGGACAGGGTCACTTGAGCTGTTGTTTTGATCAAAAACCCGTGGACATGAGGCAAAGCAGAAGCTGAAAGAAAGTTTCAGTCAGTTCCCTGAAAGCTTAACACTGAAATGCTCTCTCTGTTTTCATGGTGAAGGGTTGGTGGTGCAGAACTGTGTCACTGTGCACAGCCCTGAAAGCTTTGTGGCTGCTGCTCCCACAGTGACATCTCACAGTCAGTGTTTCCTGTGACAGGGCTCAGCAGCACCTACAGCCACTGCCTGCAGCAGTTTTTGAAGCTCTGTGCACTCTGGTCCCAGGGCTGTAGATTCCATGGCTTCATTTTGCTCCTGGGAGAGCTGCAAAACGTGCAGGAAGTTTAGGAAGGGGCTGAGGGAAGAGAACTCCTTTGCCTAAATGCATCTTCAGCCAATGACCTAAATATATCATGGATCAAACCTTTCATGAAAGCCTTTCATGAAAGTTCAGGGCACTCTGTGTGTTCAGGGCAGGCAGTGTGACCCCAGCTGAGTGCTGGGCACTTGTTTGTGCACATTTTGGCTCTGAGGCAGCAGTGGGAAGCAGTGAGAAGTGTGTTCAGACAGAGCAGAGCCTGCATGTCCCTCCCCTTGCCTTTTGTCAGCTCTGGGGAGACATCACCCAGTGCTGAACCCTTGGGCTTGTGCTGTGTGAGGGACACAAATGCACATGTGATGGGAAGGGCCTGGAGTTCACCCCTCAGACTGTCACAGCCTTTGCTCTGCTTCTAACCTGCTGTAACTGTTCTCCCCCAGCCAGACTCCCCCAGCCAGTGCTGTGAAGCTGAACAAGCAGCAGACAGACATTGCAGTGAACTGGGCAGGAGGTCTCCACCATGCCAAGAAGTCAGAGGCTTCTGGTTTCTGCTACGTCAACGACATCGTCTTGGCTATCCTGGAGCTCCTCAAGTATGGACAGTCCTATTTACCCTCTCTGTTTGCTCCTCCTGCTGCATCTCCTTGGTGCTTTTCTTCCCTGTCTTTGTGTTGCCTTTCTTTAGCTGTGTGTTGCCAGGAGGGCTGAACCAGCTGTCTTGTGGGATGTGGTACCCTCTTGCCAAAGGGATGTGTCTAGCAGTGGCACTGTGCAGCGAGCACTGGAGCATTGTGCTCTTGCTCTCTCTGCCACCCACCCTGGCAAAGAGGACACAGCTGTGATGTGTGACAGCTTCTGGCTCAGGGCAAAGCTCAGTGGGAGGTTGGGCAGAAAAAATGCAGTTTATTGGTGAATCTGAACAAGCTGAGCTGAGTCTGTCCTCAGACATCAGTTGCAGCAGCAAAAGCCACTTTATTTTCCTCTGTGGTTCTGTTCCACATGGCTCTTCCCTGCAGCTCTTTTCCTTGTAGAGCCCAGAGAGAACTGCTTGGGAAGCAGCACCAAATTCCTTGTTCTCCTCCCATTTTCTCTGCTGGTGAAGGCAGTTTTGACTCTGTGTTTCGACTTCTTTCTGTCTCCAGGTACCACCAGAGAGTGCTGTACATTGACATTGACATCCACCACGGGGATGGGGTGGAAGAGGCTTTTTACACCACAGACCGTGTCATGACCGTGTCCTTCCACAAGTATGGAGAGTATTTCCCAGGAACAGGAGACCTGAGGGTGAGAGTGAAGGCTCA